TGCATGTCATATAAACAGCCATGTGTAACAGCCAATACTTTGAAGGGGTGAGAGAGAGAGAGAGAGAGAGAGAGAGAGAGAGAGAGGAGAGAGAGAGAGAGAGAGAGAGAGAGAGAGGAGGACGAGGGGAGAGAGAGGGGATGAGGAGAGAGAGGAGAGAGAGAGGAGAGAGAGAGGAGAGAGAGAGAGAGAGAGAGAGAGAGGAGAGAGAGAGAGAGAGAGAGAGAGAGAGAGAGAGAGAGAGAGAGAGAGAGAGAGTGAGAGTGAGTGAGTGTCTGCTTGTCTGTGTCTGCCTGTGTGCTCATGTGTGTGTGTGTCTAGGATACTAACTGTAGGCCTGTTAAAGGAGAACTCCAGACCAAGGTGTTCTATAGCTCGGGGCCTAACGGTGATAAATGAGTCCTTTAATATCTGCAAACACTTTATCTCTGCTTCATCTGTTTTCATTAGGCCGGCCCCAACCTCTGGCTGGGTGAGAACGTGCTGCTGCTGTCTACTGCCTCCATTAAAGCACTGTGGACATGCCCCAAATGGCACACTATTCCCTATGTAGTGCACTACTTTTGACCAGGGCCCATTGACAGGTTGGTTGTTTAGCAACAAAACCGACGAGTGTGCCACTATGGGGCAAAACAGAAGGTGTTGGCTTAGATTGTTGACAACATGTAAGCTATATTTAGTCTCCAATGTTTATTAAAAACCTAAATAATAAATACATTTGCACAATGAGCACGTGTTGTCTCTCAAATACATTGTTACTGTTGTCAAAGCTAGCTAATTTTAGCCATATTAGCATAGACGTAACATCAGCCAAAACACCTCAAAACAAGACATGGTATCAAAAAACAAGATAAAACTAGCTGAAACGAGCCACTTACGATTCACTACATGACAGTTTGTCACTGTTGCTAGCTATCTGGCCATCCAGAATCATAACAATTCACGGCCTTCTGCCACATTGAAGAGCGCGCATCATTTTCGTCGTTGTCAGCTAACCAGTCTATGTCGGGCCCTGGTCACTTTATAGGGAATAAGGGTCCAAAGTAATGCATTATATAGGGAATAGGGTGCCATTTCAGACACAGCCTATCAAACGTATAGAGAGCTGCATCGCATCAGGAAGAGTCCCCTGCCTCCTCTCATAAGACGCCACAGTGAAGTGGTTCTTTCTGTCTGGGGATCGTAGGTCTGAGTGTTGGCCGGTTAGAATGCATGAGGTATTCCACATGACATATTTGCGATGATCTATTGCTGCGGTTTTCTTTCCTGGTGTAAACGTCTCCACCTGTGTATTAACTATACCTGGAGAGAGGCAGTTTCAACTACATACAATCAAGACAACATGACATTGAAAATCCCATTATAGAATAGAGAGAAAAACCAGACATGGGGTGTAACATCTGATGTAAGCTTTACTTTCAAATCCTGTTACATTTAGATCTGGCAATTTTTGAACATAAAATAATGCCTAAACAAAGAAAACGAATACAAAAACCAAAAAAGTACAAATGATCTATTTACCAGTTATTGTCACAAACAACCCTGTACAGCCTTAATGAACTAATAAAAAAGCTTTATACAGCACATACCAATTTTTACTGAGTGCCAAAAAGATTAACGTAAACACAAAAAAAGAAGATAGCTGAGCCTTGTCGAGTCATAAAATACAGCAAAACTTAAAGCTAACTGATTGTAGATCGTGCAAGTGGCGATCCTAACAACTAAATGCAACCGAAGGAAGTTAGTTTGGAGAAAAAACGATGAAGTGCTAAAAACTAGAAGAGTGAGGAGAAAGAGAGAGAGAGAGCAATGTCATGCATACTCCGAAGTGCTCAGAAAGGTAGTTACTCGATATAACATTAAAAATCACCTTGTGCTGCTTCTTTATAATTATGCAAAAAAAATGTAATAATAAGAAAAGATAAGTGCTTAGAAATACTGGGTTTGGAAAGGACAGAGAAGCAATCCCTGTTGGCCTTTTCTTCTCCTTAGACACACCAACCAGACCAGGGGGGCGTTTTATAAGAAGAAAGAACTGCAGCCATTCTTGATTACATAATGATTATGCGGTGGCTATATAAAAAAAAAAAGGCATACAGTCAGTCATAAAAAGATGGGCACATCCTCTTATGTTTTGTTTTTAGATTTGGACCCTGAAAATCAGTTTGACTCATTCTCAGTGGTCTCAGGCGGTTCCCTTCCACCAAGTGGCACTAGAGTATAACATATTACGCAGATAGATAAGGAGCTGGTGCTGACCTAGGAGTGTGTGTGTGGTAGGGGGGGCTCCTTGTACTCCTATAATGTAGCAGCGACCAGCGGACAGCATGCTGAACATTGACAACATAGCAAAGGGAACTAAAAGAAAACCAACCACAGGGGAGAGATTTAACTGTTACACCCCTCCACCGTTAACAGGAAGTGACGGATTCAATCCTAGCATCACAACCTCGTTTTTAAGTTTCATTTGGTCTTAACAATGCATTGTTCTCTCAAATGTTTTGTTGTTGTCATCATTACGTTAAAAAAAAACTAAACAAAATCCACCAACAACAAAAAAATCACAAGAAAATGAAAAGTACAAGAAACAAGCAAAACAATTAACGTAAAAAAAAAAAAATCCCTTTAAAAATAAGAAACCATTTTGGCTTAAAGACCACTTGGGAATGCGAGCACTGTCAATTAGATGGGTAATGCTTTTTAATTAAAAAAACAAAATGCCTGTATTATAATACCTGGTCTCATGTACACTCTCCATTTTGAGCATCTCCATTTGTACAGATAAATATATTTTTTCATATTTCAAAAAGTGCAGCACTGTGCAAAATTGGCTTTCACAATTTAGCCTGGGCCCTTTGGGTCTCCCAGCGTAGTATAGTTTGACCTCTGCTGTCTAATTCATGCAATTTGTGTTCATCATCTGCGCTCTGCAATTTTACAGAGGTAAAAACCCTCTGCACTAAACCAGAAAATGTCTACCCAACAAAAATCCTAACATCACGGTTTTGATTCAGATCGTTCACAGCAAACGTCTTAAAAGGTAATAAGTATCTTTCCGGTGATATCCTATCGGACCGACAGATCAAACGTTTGCAGAACAATATGAACTAGCTAAGTGCTTTTGAAATGTGACTAAGTTAAGTGCAATTACAACTCAGAGATGGAGAGAAGGGGGATAGAAAGCAGTACCATGTCTTCCCACTGAGACAGAAGCTACACCACCAAAACCAAACCAATGGCTGCTTCCTCGTCAACAACATTGGACCTATTGGAGCCTTCATCAAAATGGCTTCTTAATAATGATGCATGTTAGTAGAAAATGCTCATCGTCCTACGTTTAAAAGGCTCAGTAAAAAAGAGAAAGAGAGAGGAAAAAACAAATGGACAACCGAAAAAGACACAGAAGGCCACTGACCTACAAAACCAACCCCTTGCCTTCTTTCATATAGGCAACGGAACACAACAGTCCCTGCCTGCAACTACACCGCACATCTGTATCACATTCCTCATGTACATCAACAAAGAAAAATACATTCATTCAAGTCATTTTGGAACAGTTTCTTTCTGTTTTTTCTTTTACACAAAATTACAAAAGAGCTCCAAAAAGCACCATTGAATCGGCCTGTGGTGACCGGAGCGGTTGGGGGTTTTAACGCCCCATTAGCTGGTCACCTCCACAAAACAGTTATCTCTTACATCTTATCTAACGTAATAGTGCGCCAGTCCATACATAGTTCTGCACATGATGCTGGACTGAACATCACCTGGGTCGTATTCATTAGGGCACAACGTAGCATAATGACAAGTTCTGGTGATTCAGTCCTTTTTCTTCAGTTTGGTGCCTAATGAATAGGACCCTGGTCTCAGGGGTTACAGGTGGCCTTGTGGAACCTTTGATGTGGAGTGGTGGGGTAACACTAATCTGGTCCCAGATCGGTTTGTGGTGTCTTGCCAGTTCCTACGGTCATTGTCAAGACAGCACAAACAGATCTGGGACCAGGCTACGGTTACACAAGGGCTAAGTTGGGGAAAGCAAAGACTATAGCATAAGGCTATAATGTTTGTTACATTGATTTGAAAAACGTTTCAATTGGAAAAGGGCCTTGAGTAGAGAATGTCACTTGTTCTACCCACTCCACCGCACAAAGTCAAACAACGTACAAGATGTCACCTGTGTGCATGGGTTGCCAAGACAACCGTCACCTGAGACAAAGGTGAGCTCGGTCGGCGTTTGATGCATATGGTTTCACCATTACACAAAACCAAACAGATAAAGTCAAAGCTTAGTTGTGGGGGAGATCGAAGGCTACAAAACTATGTACAGTACACATTTGTTAAATAATTCATTAAGTGCGTGATTTGAGGCGTTGCTTTGGAAACGGGACTTTTGAGAAAAAGCGCTTCGTTTCATTGGTTCTTGTTCGCGGCGCATCACAATTTAACAACCTGGGGATTGGTTCATCATACCCTATTAAATGACGTGCGTCAAAGTTACCAGAAACAAAGAGGCAGGCATGCTATTCTGATGCGTAGTAGCCAAAAGACAAAAATGCACTAAAAATGTCAGAGCACTTGCAAGTTCTGTTTCTTCTTCTTTTTCGACTTTTCTAACGAAAACAAAAACTAAATACGGATACGTTTTACAGGTAATGCAGTTGGGTCCAGGTCATTCAAAAGTCCAAAAAACAAACATTAGAAAATAAAAAGTAGAGAGAGCGAGTAATAATTCAATCGATATAACAGATAAGAAAAGCAGCTTTTGATATAAACGCATTTTTTAGCACATACAGCCTTTTCTCTGATAAATTGGTTTTTTTGTCTACAATAACTACTTGTCTGTCTCTGTCCAGCTTATTCAGCTGGCTTGATTGGAAAGTTTTCCCCATCGCAGTGGATAACGATCATTCACACCACTGTCCAGGGAGAGAGGGATGGCGAGGGAGGGGAACGAGAGGGAGGGGGAAGAGAAAGGGATGAGAAGGAGGAGAGGAGAACAGTCACACAGTCTTGGCTCTCTCCTTCAGTCCCAGTCCTAGGTAAGCCAGGAAGGAGTGTTTGAGTGAGGTGGGCGAGGGAGGAGAGGAAGAGGGGGAGGAGGCGGTGGAGGAGAGGAAAAGGGGGGAGGAGGAGGAGGGCCTCTGGAGTCTGGAGAGGGGCGAGTGGAATGTGGAGCGGTGGCGGTGGGTGAACAGGGTTGTGAGGGGGATCAGGTGCGCCCGCTCGCAGTTTCCCATCTGCTCGTAGAGGTGGCGTGGGGAGGGGAAGAAGAGGGAGGAGCCTCCGCCATTGGTTGTGGTCGCTGTCAGATAACGCTGGGCTGGGGGCGGGACATCCTGTTGACGGTGGTGTTTCCCTGTGATGAGTGACAGGGCGACAGACTGCAGGGCCTGCGAGGCAGAGAGAATCATGAGGGGGCTGCTACTACCGCTCCCCCCGCTACTCCCATCCCCACCTCCACCTACCCCCAGGAGGAAGGGCTCCCCGCCCCGCAGAGACCCCACCAGAGAGCCCCCTAGCTGGGCCTGGAACTCCTCCTCGCCGGCCTCCTCCCCTTCCCCTCCACCCTGGTGCTTCTTGAGGTGGCGGCTGAAGATGAAGGGGTGGGTGGTGGTGAAGGGGCACTCTGTGCAGCCGAAGGTCTGGCGCGGCGCGTGCTTCAGCTTCTTGTGCAGGTTCAGGTTGTCCTTGCGCTTGCAGCTGTAGCCGCAGCGGTCGCAGTGGAAGGGCCGCTCGCCCGTGTGCACGCGCACGTGCTCGATCAGCTTGTTGGCCGTCTTGGACAGGTAGCCGCACTGCTCGCACTTGTAGTGGTTGCCGAGGCGATGCTCGCGCACGTGCCTCTCCAGCGCGGGCTGGTCGCGCCACACCGACTGGCAGATGCGACACTTGTACTCCATCTTGTAATGGGTCTTCAGGTGGCACTCCATGGCCGCCGGCCGATTGGTGGAATAAATGCAGACGGGGCACCTGGGAAACAGGAAGGAGGAAGTGGAAGGAGGCGTGACATGGGATATACACACACAATAGCGAGGGGAGGTTTAATGAAGAGAGGACTTAAATACACGACGACCAAAATACACACCTTAAGACTTCAACATAAGGGAGGATGAAGACAGGGAAAGGTGAAGGAGGAAAGGTGTGTGTGATGTGTCCTGAATATTCTACCCTAAGGGAATGATTGGTGTGTGTGGTGGAAAGTGTGCGTGTGTATTGTGTGTGGGTGGGTTGGGGTTGAAAGTGTGTTTGGAGTGAGTGGGTTGGGAGGTGGGTGGAGCATGTAGAACTGTATGTATGTAGAACTGGGCAGAGACAGGTTGTGGAAAGAGAACAGGATTGGACGGAATTAGGAATGGAAGGATAAATGGAAATGTGTCACTTACATTTAAATAGCACCATTCATCTGCTCTGGGCCCCAAAGCGCTTCACAAACCCTGCAGAACAGAATCACCTCAGAATACAACCAGCCACGTGGTGAAGACCCTACACACACCTTCCCTCTCCCACACACTCCTGGACATACACTCCTGAGTACACTGGTTAAGGGAGGCCCTTCTCTGTCCTACACACGCCTCAGTACACACTCCCCGAGTGCACACTTCTGAGTACACAGTCTTTAGTACGCTATCCTCTTTGATACACACTTCTGAGTACACACTACAGCCCTTTAAAAAATATATATATTGTCTACAACTTCTTGTCTGTCTTTTGTCCAGCTTATTCAGCTGGCTTGATTGGAAAGTGTTTTCCATTGCAGTGGATAACCATCACTCACAGTCACCCCACTGTCCACTGCTGAGTACACACTACTTAGTACACAGTCCTGTCTGGACACACTGCTCTAGAGATACCCCCTTGAACTGGACTGAGGGGTCAGCTGTGTTTGGGCTACCTGTGCCCTTGTGACTGCTTTTAATTCTGACCTCTCAAACCTTTAACGGCACAGCTAATGTGGACACTGTCTGTCTGGTTTTAAAGTCAGGATAGTGGATGGATTATTAACAGACATAAAAACACTGTACTAAAACGACTGAACTAATTGCACCCTTGAACATTTGAAATGTGAAATAAATATATTCCCATCTATCTAAAATGGACTAATACTGTTAGCAGTGTTGATGGTGTGTGTGTGTGTTCCTGTATTGACCAATGAACGTGGAAAGAATCAGTGGTGGCGTATTGAGACCTTAACCTTGTCTCTAACTCCATGTAACAAGACGAGACACTAACACATACCTCAGTAAACTATAACCCTGACTCTCTCACTCCAAACACCAAACCAACTGCTGATCTAATGCTACAGATGGCTAGACAATGAACAGTATCTGGTGAATAGTGGTGACAGCTTGACATTAACATGGTAAAGTGAAAGTGTAGGCCGATCAGTTCATGATGAGATGAGTTCAATGGCGTCTGATTGATATCGATGGCTCTACACATGCATTGACTGACTGCGTATCATGGCAAACAACTTCGACAAATTAATAAAACATTAAAAAAAACACAAAAATGACAGTGACTGTTGTGTTAACAAACAATCTATTTTTACTGCGTTTAAATATTTTCCTAGATGTCTGTTCAGATTTCCTGTTAAGTAATTGCAAGTGAGTGCATGTACTACTTTCATTCCAGATGGTTTCAAATGCAATCTGGGAAAACAGAAAATCTATGTGGTATAAAATATGCATCGGTGTGTGCAGGCTTTAAAAGCGCTAGGCTAGGCTAGGCTAGGCTAATGTCATTAGCATGTTGTTGCGTGTGTGTTGGATGGGCTTCATGTACTGGCAGCGTTGGTTTAACATGAACAGATAGGCTAAACGGCTACGTATGGTCTACGGTGTGTGTGTCTACGTCACACAGTACAACGGAGGCTCCTATAGGGGTATAGTAGTATTGGGTCAGAGGGGGAAAGTGTTTGGTATCTAGGGCTGTGAGTGTAATAGGGGTTTATATATACTGTGTGAATGTCTTAATCGTTTCAGTGAGCTAGATGTCCTACGCATGTGAATGTGTATGTTGGACAGTGTCTGTGTGTTGACGTCATCTAGTTTGAAAGTGTGGACGACTGCGGTGAATGCGTGCACACATTCACAGTTCAGACTGCGTGTGTATTAAGTTGACGCATGTGCTCTTACACGCATGTTTTCGACTTAATGTGCATACTATAATGAGCAGTCAGTCTGTCAGTGGGTTACAGCCTGTCTGTGTGTCTGTACATGTGTGAGGGAGGAGTCGGGGTGGGACGGGACGGGACAGGGGGGTGGAGTGGGATGGGACGGGGGGTGGAGTAGGACGGGACGGGACAGGGGGGGTGGAGTAGGACGGGACGGGACAGGGGGGGTGGAGTAGGACGGGACGGGACAGGGGGGGTGGAGTAGGACAGGACGGGACAGGGGGAGTGAAGTAGGACGGGACGGGACAGGGGGAGTGGAGTAGGACGGGACGGGACAGGGGGGGTGGAGTGGGATGGGACGGGGGGTGGAGTAGGACGGGACGGGACAGTGGGGGTGGAGTAGGACGGGACGGGACAGGGGGGGTGGAGTGGAATGGGACGGGACAGGGGGGGTGGAGTAGGACGGGACGGGGGTGGAGTAGGACGGGACAGGGGGTGGAGTAGGACGGGACGGGACAGGGGGGGTGGAGTGGGACGGGACGGGACAGGGGGGGTGGAGTGGGATGGGACGGGACAGGGGGGGTGGAGTAGGAACCTCTGTCTGTACTTGCTTTCCTTACTTGAGCCCTCCGGTGGGGACGGTGTGACACTTCTTGTGCTCCAGCAGCTGCTCGGGTGTCTTCAGGAACTTGTGGCACACGTCGCACTCGAACATGCGCGTGATCAGGTGGATCTGGAGGTGGCGCTCGTACATGGTCCGCGTCTTGCACACAAAGTTGCAGAAGACGCACTCGAAGCCTGGGGAGGGGGGAGGGGAGAGGGAGTTAGCATGGCTGCAGTGCTCCCCATCCTCATTTAAGCATTACCCACACGATATCCTTGTGTGCGGCTCAAATTATTGCTAATATTTTACCTCACATTGACATCACTGCATGATTTACGTGAAGAAAGTATGCGTTTTTGTTTGCTAGCTGTTCCGGTAGACTTTCAGTCATTGCGCTAACGCTAGTTAGCAATAGCGTGAGAAACTACCTCTAACTTCCTTCATATTGGACGCAGAGACAAACATGGTATCCATGAGTTCATCTGACTCTGGGGAAGTAGATAAAGGGCTTAGTTGTCAAAATCTCACACTATCCCTTTAAAGGCCCAGTGCAATCAAAATTCTGTTTTTCCTGTGTTTAATATTATATTGTACAACAGCTGATGAAACTAACACTGTAAAGGTGTGAAAACATTTGATCAGTGTTATTTCCTGATAACTGCTGGTTGAAAATACAATCTACACAAGACCTTCTAATCGGCAGGTTTGCATGAGCGGGAGTTTCGGCTTTCCGTTAAGAAAAAATGAGCCTCATTATTGTTATTTTATTGTGCAACTTTTTTTATTTTATTTTTACCTTCGTTTATTTTGTAAGCATTTTCATAACTCTATTTTCTTAAAACTGCATTGTTGGTTAAGGGCTTGTAAGTAAGCATTTCACAGTAAGGTCTACACCTGTTGTATTCGGCGCATGTAACAAATACAATTTAATTTGATTTTAATTGGTTAATAGGCCAATAACAAAGAGTTCCAAACCTCTCTGCCAATAACAGCTAGTTTTCAGTTTCCCCTCCCCACTCAGACCACTCCCAGACAGTCCTAGCAAAATCCTTGCTTGAGAAATAGTTTTTTGCTAAAAAAGCTATTTCTGCCCATTTTAATTGAAATCTATTACAGTAAGATACTTATTGTTACCCAGATATTGAGATAAAAATGGCTGCATTGGGCCTTTAAGGATACAGAATTGGAAGTAGATTAAATTAACTGTAGTTCTACATAATGTTCCAGCCTATACATCCCAGAATTCCTTGCCTTTCTCAGACTTCTCTTCAGTTCCTGATCCCGAGTGGCTGCTGGAGCTGGATTGGCTGCCTGCAGAGGAGGGAGGGGCTAGCAGGTTCTTGAGCTCCTCATTGCCGTGGGTGAGTTCCCCACCCTCTGAACTGTTGAGCGAATCGCTGAGGGCCGACAGGGAGGAGGAGGTGCTCTTGGTCTCACTGAGGGGGCTCCGCGAGTTCAGACCTAGGAGGTAGGGTCAATCATCATCAACATCATTGTTATCATCATCCTCATCGATAGTTGGGGTGATTCATAAAATTAACCATTGTAATTACATTTCACTTTCCTTCCTGAATCTCCTGAGTGATTAAGTAATAATGCTGCAATTCTGTCACTACCAGCACTGCCACAGTCATCATAAGTGCTTTCTCAACATCAGACAGGGTACCTCAAGCCTATAAAAGGAGGAAAAGCACTAAACTACAGTAAAAACTACACAGTGTGTTGACTACAAAATGAAAATCACACACACTGCAGGCAGGCCGGCTCAGCTTCAGTGCCATGTCCTCTGACTGGAGCCCCACTGCCAGTTCAATCAACAGCCAGTGTGCTTTTATTGATCTCCCTCTCTGTCCCCCTCTCTCTCTCTCGGTGTGTCTCTCTCTCTCTCTCTCCCTCTGACCGTACTTCACTGGGATAGAGAAAGAGACTACGAGAGAGAAGAGGGGAGGAGGAGGGTCACGGCTAAGGGAGCTAAGATGGCGGGAGCAACTCAGGGCACAGCTCAACAAAGGGCATTCAGTCAGGGAGAAGGAGAGGAGGGAGGAGCAGGAGCATAGGGCTGCTGGCTGCCATGGATTGTGAAATGGCCGACGCCAGCTACCTCAAACACACTTGTATGTGTGTAAGCACACGTCATAGGCACAAACACACTGAGGCATTCACACAGATGCATTCAAAGACACACTTTCATCCTTGACTGTGAGAATGAGAGAATGCAGGTATAGAAATGCAGAAAGCAGAGTATGCAGGTACAGAAACGCAGAAAGCAGAGAGTGAAATAGCATTGTCTCGCTTTTAACTCAAAAGACAAAATGAGACTCACCACTCCACTATCTAATGGAGCTATAGAGTACATCATGCTCTGAACATTCGAGGAGTACATGTCCCTTGAATACGTCAGGAAACCACATTATTTATCATCCCTGTTGGCATATTCCCTGTTAGCTCTTTTTCCAAGGTCCAAGACGCTATTGAAGAATGTATACAGTCAAACGCACTTCACTTTTTACGAGTGTGGAAACGTTGTGAACTATAGTTACCCTCCTCTACGTATTTATTTGGACAGTGAAGCTGAAACTTAGAATTTGGCTCTATACTCCAGCATTTTGGATTTGAGATCAAGTGTTTTATATGATGCGACAGTACAGAATGTCACCTTTTATTTGAGGGTATTTTCATACATATCTGTTTCACCGTTTAGAAATGAAAGCACTTTATGTATCTAGTCCCCCCATTTGAAGGTGTCATAAGTATTTGGACAAATTCACTTATGTGTATTAAAGTACTTAAAGGTTTAGTATTTGGTCCCATATTTCTAGCACGCAATGACTACATCAAGCTTGTGACTCTACTAACTTGTTGGATGCATTTGTAGTTTGTTTTGGTTGTGTACCATACAGTATCTCTGTCCTGTCCCTACTGTACCACCATACAGTATCTCTGTCCTGATCCTACTGTACCACCATACAGTATCTCTGTCCTGTTCCTACTGTACCACCATACAGTATCTCTGTCCTGGTCCTACTGTACCACCATATAGTATATCTGTCCTGTTCCTACTGTACCACCATACAGTATCTCTGTCCTGTCCTGTTCCTACTGTACCACCATATAGTATCTCTGTCCTGTTCCTACTGTACCACCATATAGTATCTCTGTCCTGTTCCTACTGTACCACCATATAGTATATCTGTCCTGTTCCTACTGTACCACCATATAGTATCTCTGTCCTGTTCCTACTGTACCACCATATAGTATCTCTGTCCTGTTCCTACTGTACCACCATACAGTATCTCTGTCCTGTCCGGTTCCTACTGTACCACCATACAGTATCTCTGTCCTGTTCCTACTGTACCACCATACAGTATCTCTGTCCTGTTCCTACTGTACCACCATATAGTATCTCTGTCCTGTTCCTACTGTACCACCATACAGTATCTCTGTCCTGTCCGGTTCCTACTGTACCACCATACAGTATCTCTGTCCTGTTCCTACTGTACCACCATACAGTATCTCTGTCCTGTTCCTACTGTACCACCATATAGTATCTCTGTCCTGTCCTGTTCCTACTGTACCACCATATAGTATCTCTGTCCTGTTCCTACTGTACCACCATACAGTATATCTGTCCTGTTCCTACTGTACCACCATACAGTATCTCTGTCCTGGTCCTACTGTACCACCATATAGTATATCTGTCCTGTTCCTACTGTACCACCATACAGTATCTCTGTCCTGTCCTGTTCCTACTGTACCACCATATAGTATCTCTGTCCTGTTCCTACTGTACCACCATATAGTATATCTGTCCTGTTCCTACTGTACCACCATATAGTATCTCTGTCCTGTTCCTACTGTACCACCATATAGTATCTCTGTCCTGTTCCTACTGTACCACCATACAGTATCTCTGTCCTGTCCGGTTCCTACTGTACCACCATACAGTATCTCTGTCCTGTTCCTACTGTACCACCATACAGTATCTCTGTCCTGTTCCTACTGTACCACCATATAGTATCTCTGTCCTGTTCCTACTGTACCACCATACAGTATCTCTGTCCTGTCCGGTTCCTACTGTACCACCATACAGTATCTCTGTCCTGTTCCTACTGTACCACCATACAGTATCTCTGTCCTGTTCCTACTGTACCACCATATAGTATCTCTGTCCTGTTCCTACTGTACCACCATACAGTATCTCTGTCCTGTCCGGTTCCTACTGTACCACCATACAGTATCTCTGTCCTGTCCGGTTCCTACTGTACCACCATACAGTATCTCTGTCCTGTTCCTACTGTACCACCATATAGTATCTCTGTCCTGTTCCTACTGTACCACCATACAGTATCTCTGTCCTGTTCCTACTGTACCACCATACAGTATCTCTGTCCTGTTCCTACTGTACCACCATACAGTATCTCTGTCCTGTTCCTACTGTACCACCATATAGTATCTCTGTCCTGTTCCTACTGTACCACCATACAGTATCTCTGTCCTGTCCGGTTCCTACTGTACCACCATACAGTATCTCTGTCCTGTTCCTACTGTACCACCATATAGTATCTCTGTCCTGTTCCTACTGTACCACCATACAGTATCTCTGTCCTGTTCCTACTGTACCACCATATAGTATCTCTGTCCTGTTCCTACTGTACCACCATATAGTATCTCTGTCCTGTTCCTACTGTACCACCATACAGTATCTCTGTCCTGTTCCTACTGTACCACCATATAGTATCTCTGTCCTGTCCTGTTCCTACTGTACCACCATACAGTATCTCTGTCCTGTTCCTACTGTACCACCATACAGTATCTCTGTCCTGTTCCTACTGTACCACCATATAGTATCTCTGTCCTGTTCCTACTGTACCACCATATAGTATATCTGTCCTGTCCGGTTCCTACTGTACCACCATACAGTATCTCTGTCCTGTTCCTACTGTACCACCATATAGTATCTCTGTCCTGTTCCTACTGTACCACCATACAGTATCTGTCCTGTCCTGTTCCTACTGTACCACCATACAGTATATCTGTCCTGTCCTGTTCCTACTGTACCACCATACAGTATCTCTGTCCTGTTCCTACTGTACCACCATACAGTATCTCTGTCCTGTTCCTACTGTACCACCATATAGTATCTCTGTCCTGTTCCTACTGTACCACCATACAGTATCTCTGTCCTGTTCCTACTGTACCACCATACAGTATATCTGTCCTGTTCCTACTGTACCACCATACAGTATCTCTGTCCTGTCCTGTTCCTACTGTACCACCATACAGTATCTCTGTCCTGTTCCTACTGTACCACCATACAGTATATCTGTCCTGTTCCTACTGTACCACCATACAGTATATCTGTCCTGTTCCTACTGTACCACCATACAGTATATCTGTCCTGTTCCTACTGTACCACCATACAGTATCTCTGTCCTGTTCCTACTGTACCACCATACAGTATCTCTGTCCTGGTCCTACTGTACCACCATACAGTATCTCTGTCCTGTTCCTACTGTACCACCATACAGTATCTGTCCTGTCCCTACTGTACCACCATATAGTATCTCTGTCCTGTCCTGTTCCTACTGTACCACCATACAGTATCTCTGTCCTGTTCCTACTGTACCACCATATAGTATCTCTGTCCTGTTCCTACTGTACCACCATACAGTATCTCTGTCCTGTTCCTACTGTACCACCATACAGTATCTCTGTCCTGTTCCTACTGTACCACCATACAGTATCTCTGTCCTGTTCCTACTGTACCACCATATAGTATATCTGTCCTGTTCCTACTGTACCACCATACAGTATATCTGTCCTGTTCCTACTGTACCACCATATAGTATCTCTGTCCTGTTCCTACTGTACCACCATATAGTATCTCTGTCCTGTCCTGTTCCTACTGTACCACCATACAGTATCTCTGTCCTGGTCCTACTGTACCACCATATAGTATCTCTGTCCTGTCCTGTTCCTACTGTACCACCATACAATATCTCTGTCCTGTTCCTACTGTACCACCATATAGTATCCCTGTCCTGTTCCTACTGTACCACCATATAGTATCTCTGTCCTGTCCTGTTCCTACTGTACCACCATATAGTATCTCTGTCCTGTCCTGTTCCTACTGTACCACCATACAGTATCTCTGTCCTGTTCCTACTGTACCACCATATAGTATCTCTGTCCTGTTCCTACTGTACCACCATATAGTATCTCTGTCCTGTTCCTACTGTACCACCATATAGTATCTCTGTCCTGTTCCTACTGTACCACCATATAGTATCTCTGTCCTGTTCCTACTGTACCACCATATAGTATCTCTGTCCTGTTCCTACTGTACCACCATACAGTATCTCTGTCCTGTTCCTACTGTACCACCATATAGTATCTCTGTCCTGTTCCTAGCCCTAGCAGCAGCCAGGCTCCCTGCTGTGGGGCCACCAGTCTGACCCCTTGACCATGTGGCTGACACATGCTGAGTTAGGCCATTTCCAAATCTGTCTGGAGCCTGGCATGGGGAGATGTCGTGTCCAAACACTACCAGCTGACAAATAACACCCAGCAGTCTTTTCTACAGCCCCACTGTGGTGTGTTTTAAGCAGCTATGTTTTCTAGTGTGTGGAGGCTAGTCTAAATGCCAAGCTGGGATGTGGACTCTCCACTCTGTGTTTGTGTCTGTGTGAGAGAGGGTAAGAATGTGTATGTGTGTGTGTGTGTGTGTGTGTGTGTAAACCCTGGCCCGCCTCTGAAGGACCAGAGGGCCTTATTGATTTCTTCCCCTCCGGCACGACAAGGGGCAGCCCTCGTAGATAAACAAGGTCACTCCCCGGCCTCCATGAGGACCCCTCAGCTGTCTGCAACGCTACCGGACAATCCCACACACCCTGCCATGGAAAGGGTATGACAGACAACAGCATCGGACGATAAACCGGACAAAGACGCTACTGAACGAAAATACGATATCGACCGGCCGGGTTTTGGACCAGTGGTCCAGGGAAGGTTGAAGGAGGGAAAGAAAGAAAGAATCTACTCGTTGTGTTATTCAAAGTGGAAGTTGTTTCTGTTTGGAGAGTTTACAGAGTTACAGAGTCTCCTGTCTCTCTCTCTCTCCCGGGAAGGGACTCGTTTTATGAAGCTTTACTATCACTTCAGTCCAGTGTGTTGAGACTGAAGGTGTTGGTTCCCTCTCTTATAAACGGCTGTAAACTAAACTAGCCATTTCTACTCCGAGCAGTCAGCAGTAGCACCACAATCTGCAATACTCCCCCCAACAGCTCCCTCCCTATAACATGTTATTGCTGATCTAAGAATCATTCTAAAAAGGTTTGTACCATCTCTTCATAAAGCTAAATATAGCTTTGTGTGAGTATTTTATGACGGACTTTAATAAATTGTTACAATATAAAACCTTCTGTTTGGATTCTTTGGCTACGCTCCGAGATGCAGACAGTTCCAGTCCTCCTCATGGATTTAAAAGGAATGGACTGGGTGTAAGGAATGGTGTCCACCCCCTCTTTCTACCCCATGCTTACACCAAAACAATGCTTTAAAACCCATGAGTCCGAGTGAGCAGATAGATACACGCTTCAGGAAGAGAATCAATACAATTTGGAACAACTCGACGACAGCAAAATCAAGTTCAGCTGGAAAATAAATGCAATCAAGTTGGTTGTGCAAGCTGACTTCATCCTATTGCTGCCACCGGGGACAAGAGGTGGACCAAAACTATATCCATACATCTCTATACAATATATGCCTGAGCAGACAGATGATCTACCTGCGTGTCCTTGACTGACGTGGGTCTTCATGTCACTCTCCTCTACACAGACGTAGTCACAGGCGCTGCAGCACAGAGAGAACATCCACTGCTCCTTGTCCACGTGGAGAGACATGTGGCTGACGAACTGGGCGTTCAGCCCCGTCTGGAAACCACACGCATGGCAGCTGGATGGACAGGAAGAGGGAAGGATTGGTTAAACACTGATCTCAGAACAGGTTATAGAGGGGATAGGACATCATTAATTCCGAATCAAACCCCAAAGCCTGACCTCAGACCAGGTTATAGAGGGGAGAGGACATCATTAGTTCCCAATCAAACCCCAAAGGCTGACCTCAGTCTAATAGTACCTGTAGTAATAGGGGAAGGTCTTCCCGTCTCGTCCCTCAGCGGTGCTGACGGCGCTGACCATCTGCTCTGCGTCGGTGCTGACCAGCTTGACAGAGTGGATGGTCAGGTGTTGGTTGAGGTTGGCTCGGCACTTGGCTGCATAAGGACACAGGTGACACGTATACTTCCGCTCCTCTGGAAGGACAGACGGACGGACGGACAGACAACAGGAGCAGACTCTCAATGTCTGAGAGAGAGAGAGCGGTAGGTCTACAGGCACACATACACGGGGACACACATTCGTACACACACTTATGCGTAATACGCACACCATATACAAACGCATGCAGGCACACGCACGCGTACGCAAACATCATGTATCCACAAATACAATGAGTACATCCCTCTGTATAAGAATGTCTGCTTAGTGGACCAAATACACACACACACGCAAATCCTATTACATCAGCTACTAACTAACGCACACACACACACATTTGGCCCGAGGACATGAAGCCAGGGAACCTTTGTGTGGCCTGGGTAAACCAAAAACAACCATCGTGATGACATATGCCCCCGTTTCTGCTCTCTGTGGTGTGGCCAAGCTGTTCTCAGCCAAACAACCCACTCACAGGGGGAGTGTATGTGTGTGCGTGCGTGTTTTGTATTAGTGTGTGTGGACCATGAGTTTTCATGCATAATAATATGTAGGTTTTTACATAAATGTGGGTGCATTAAAAATAATAATTTAAATAAAATTAAAATTGAGAATGCATCATCTTTTACAGCAATGACCCTTATACTTGTGGTAATGCCAGGGGAGCTGAGATCTCTGATCTGAACCACTGAGATTCAGGACCTCTGTTTGGATGTCTCATCCCAAGGATCGCTTAGACAGTAGTGTGTGCTGTGTTCACATGTCTTTAAACACTGAGTGAACAAAACATTATGAACACCTGCTCTTTCCATGACATAGACTGACCAGGTGAATGCTATGATCCCATATTGATGTCACTTGTTCAATCCACTTCCATCAGTGTAGATGAAGGGGAGGAGACAGGTTAAAGAAGGATTTTTAAGCCTTGAGACAATTGAGACATGGATTGTGTATGTGTGCCATTCAGAGGGTGAATGGGCAAGACAAAATATTTAAGTGCCTTTGAACAGGGTATGGTAGTAGGTGCCAGGCGCACCGGTTTGTGTCAAGAACTGCTGCTGGGTTTTTCACGCTCAATAGTTTCCTGTGTGTATCAAGAATGGTCCACCATCCAGCCAACTTGACACAACTGTGGGAAACATTGGGGTCAACATGGGCCAGCATCCCTGTGGAATGCTTTCGACACCTTGTAGAGTCCATACCCTGACGAATTGAGGCTGTTCTGAGGGCAAAAGGGGGCGCAACTCAATAATAGGAAGGTGTTCTTAATGTTCTGTACACTCAGTGTATGTATTTATATGTATTAATATTTATTCATACAGTACCAGTCAAAAGTTTGGACACACCTACTCATTCAAGGTTTTTTCTTTTTATTTGTACTATTTTCTACATTGTAGAATAATAGTGAAGACATCAAAACTATGAAATAACACATATGGAATCACGTAGTAACCAAAAAAGTGTTAAACAAATCAAAATATATTTTATATTTGAGATTCTTCAAAGTAGCCACCCTTTGCCTTGATAACAGCTTTGCACACTCTTGGCATTCTCTCAACCAGCTTCATGAGGTAGTCACCTGGAATGCATTTAAATTAACAGGTGTGCCTTGTTAAAAGTTAATTTGTGGAATTTCTTTCCTTCTTAATGCGTTTGAGCCAATCAGTTGGGTTGTGACAAGGTAGTGGGGGTATACAGAAGATAGGCCTACTTGGTAAAAGACCAAGTCCATATTATGGCAAGAACAGCTCAAATAAGCAAAGAGAAACAACAGTCCATCATTACTTTAAGACATGAAGGTCAGTCAATACAGAACATTTCAAGAACTTTGAAAGTTGCAGTCGCAAAAACCATCAAGCGCTATGATGAAACTGGTTCTCATGAGGACCGCCACAGGAAAGGAAGACCCAGACTTACCTCTGCTGCAGAGGATAAGTTCATTACAGTTACCAGCCTCAGAAATTGCAGCCCAAATAAATGCTTCACAGAGTACAAGTAACAGACACATCTCAACATCAACTGTTCAGAGGAGACTGCGTGAATCAGGCCTTCATGGTTGAGTTGCTGCAAAGAAACCACTACTAAAGGACACCAATAAGAAGAAAATACTTGCTTGGGCCAAGAAACATGAGCAATGGACATTAGAGCGGTGGAAATCTGTCCTTTGGTCTGATGAGTCCAAATTTGAGATTTTTGGTTCCAACCGCCGGGTCTGTGAGACGCAGAGTAGGTGAACGGATGATCTCTGCATGTGTGGTTCCCACCGTGAAGCATGGAGGAGGAGGTGTTATGGTGTGGGGGTGCTTTGCTGGTGACACTGTTGGTGGTTTATTTAGAATTCAAGGCACACTTAACCAGCATGGCTACCACAGCATTCTGCAGCAATACACCATCCCATCTAGTTTGCGCTTAGTGGGACTATCATTTGTTTTTCAACAGGACAATGACCCAACACACCTCCAGGCTGTGTAAGGGCTATTTAACCAAGAAGGGGAGTGATGGAGTGCTGCATCAGATGACCTGACCTCCACAATCACCCGACCTCAACCCAATTGAGATGGTTTGGGATGAGTTGGACCGCAGAGTGAAGGAAAAACAACCAACAAGTGCTCAGCATATGTGGAAACTCCTTCAAGACTGTTGGAAAAGCATTCCAGGTGAAGCTGGTTGAGAGAATGTCAAGAGTGTGCAAAGCTGTCATCAAGGCGAAGGGTGGCTATTTTGAAGAATAAAAAATATAACATATATTTTGATTTGTTTAACACTTTTTTGGTTACTACATGATTCCATATGTGTTATTTCATAGTTTTGATGTCTTCACTATTATTCACAATGTAGAAAATAGTAAAAATGAAGAAAAACCCTTGAATGAGTAGGTGTCCAAACTTTTGACTGGTACTGTATGTGTATTTATATGTACGTATGCATATGTATTAATATGCATAAAAGCATGTACAGACACAGTAGTATGTGGTTTTGCATCAGATATGGTGTGGCCCCAATGCTGTGTGTATGGATCCATCTGGCTCTATCCACTCTGGGGGGCAGCGGTGTGTGTGCGCGTATGTGTGTGTCTGCGCATCAGTGAGTGCGTCCGTCCGTGTGTGTGTGTGTGTGTGTGTGTGTGTGTGTGTGTACTGGGACGCAGGGCAGCCTTCTGGCTTGGTAATTACGCGGGCAGTTTTCCCACTGAGACTAATCATGGTGGTAATCTCTTTAAAGGAAAGGGTAATCCAGTCTACTAAACTTTATTTACTTATTACAGGGCATTACACACACACAGTCACACACACAGACACACGCCAAGGGAACAATGACAAGACATGTCACAACACACACAGGGAACTGTACGCAGAGATGCAAAGGGAGTGTGTGTGTGTGTGTTCGTGTGCTTAGTGGACTCACCTGTGTGTAGAGCCAGGTGTCTGGAGAGGGTCTGTTGCCTGCCGAACACCTTGCCACAGACAGGACAGGGGTAGAGCTGCTGACTGCTTAGTATCCCCTGGGACATCCCGTTCCCCCCCGGCTCTCCACCAACCTTCTCTGGGTCTGGAAACACACACACACAGAGTACCGTCACCATCACAGTTTACCATATTTGACTCACAACTTTCTCATAACCTCCCCACAACATTTGCACCAGGTGGTGAACTGGAAGTCCACATATTGTAGGAAAGCAATCAGCAACTGAAACGGAATGGAGTCCAACCTTGTTTCATATTAGTCCAACTCCACTCAAACCCTCACATCTTTCTCATACCAACAAACACTATAGCCTTCTCAAGTTCTTCTCAATCTTTCTTCCTCTCCATGCTAATCAGACTATACCACACTGTGCCCCTTGCCCCTTCCTTATCCCTCCATACAGTACACCTCTGTGTGTGTGTGTCTGTGTGTGTGTATGTACCCTCCATCACCCATGAGTCCTAAGCCCTCTCTAGTGTGTGGTTGTCCATGCTAATCAGACTATATTGTAATACACTACCACACTGTGCCCCCTGTCTCACCCAGGGATACAGCAGGGAGGGAGGGGGAGAGAGAGAGAGGGAGGGGGAGAGAGAGAGGGAGGGGGGAGAGAGAGGGGGGGGGGGGGGTAGAGAGTATGAGAGAGAGAGAGAGGTAGAGAGAGAGTGCATAATAGAGAGAGAGGGAGGGAGAGGCAGGGAGGGGTGAGGAAACGTGAGAGAGGGAGAGAGAGTGAGAGAGAAAAGGGAGCACCTTCTCACCCGACAAGAAGAGATACAGAATTAACCTTCTGATGAAGGCACGGCTCTCAATTAGGATTCCATCCACTCCCTAAAGTGCCTTTGGAACCCCAACAACAATGTCCCCAACAACCAAGGGAACCCCCTTTTAACCCCCAACAAATTTGAAAAGGGGGTTGGGGTGGGGGGCCCCCTTTTGGTTGGAAACCTCACCTGGGGGGAGCCAAATTTTTCTAAGGCCCCCCCTTCCCCTTCCACCCCTTCCAAACAACACAAGGGTTAAGCTGCTAATTTTTCTTTTCCCCTGGAACATCCCCTTCCCCCCCCCTTTTCCCCCAACCCCTTTTGGGGGTTTTCCGGGGGAAACCCCCACCCCAGGTCCTCCCCCTCCAGTTTTTTCCATTTTAATAAACAATTTTCCAACCCTTTCCCCCCCCTTTCCCCCCGGGAACGGGGGGAATAGGGAAGGAAAGATGGGGGGGAAAAAGGGGGGGAAAGGGGGAAACCCCCCTTTTTTTGGGGGGGGGGGGTTAAAATAATTTTTAAAAAAAATTAGTTTTTTTTTTATTTTCCCTTTTTAAAAGAAAAATGCCCCCTTGTTCCTTACCCTTAAGAGGGGGGCTTTTTGGGAAAAAAAGGACCCTTTCCTCACCCCAAAAAGGTCCTAACCTTCTGGTTGGGGGGGCTCTAATTTGGGATTTTTTAATCCCCCCATTCCCCCTTCCTCCCCCTCCAGGGGGGTAAAAAAAAAAAGGGGGGGGGAAGGGGGGGGGGGGGTTTTTTTCCCTTGGAGAACAATGAGGGAAATTCAAGGGACCCCTTGGGGGAACCAATGGGGAAACCTTTTTGAAATTTTAGGGAGGGAAGAGTGGAGAAAAAACCCTTACCCCAAAGGATGGCCTTTAAAGGGGCCCCTTTTATTGGGGACCCTACTCCCCCTTTTAAAACCCCCTTTTCCCCCCCCTGGGTTATAAATAAAAAAAATGGGGGTGGGCTTCCCATGAAAAATATTATTAAAATTTTAGTTAAATTTTTGGGATTTATTGTTTTAATGATGACAAGGTTAGGGGGAGATTAAAAAAAATAAAACCACTCCCAAATCCTTTTTCCTAGGCCATTTAATGGGGCCCTGGAAATCCCCCCTTTGGGGGGCCCAAAAAACCCTGGGGTTAGTTTTTAAAAAAACCCCAAAAAGGCCCCTTTTTACAAATAAAAATTTAATTTTTGTTTTAAAAAATTAAAAAAAAAAAAATAGTATTTTTTTAAAAAATTTTACACTAAGGATTACTTTTTGGCTTTGGGGGAAACAAGGGGAAAAAAGTACACTAAAAATTTTTTTGGTAAAAGAACAAAAAGGTTGGTGAGGGAAAAAAAGGGGGGCCGGGGAAAAGCAAGGGGGTTCAATGGGTTAAAAGTTTTGGGGGTTTAGAAAACCAAAAAGGGCCCATTTTAGACCAAGGGGAAAAAACGGAAAATTTGGTCCCCCATTAAAAACCGAAAAAAGATTCCGCATTTTCACCATCCCTTTACCTTTAAAACTATTTCTCTTCTTTTCTTGCTCTCTCCAACTACCCCTCCCTCTTCTCTCTTCTCCTCTCTCACTGGGCCCTCTCTTCAAAGAAAAAACCCCAAAAAATTCCCCTTCCTTTAACTCTCCCTCGGATCTTTCTCTCTTTTCTACCTCTAAAAGGCTCATGGGTCCTCCCCGGGCCCCTTTTTTCCTCTCCTCCCCTCCCCTTTCCCCTTCTCACCTGGTCTCTCTTTTCCCCTTCGAAACAAACTCGACCCAGGTCGGGGGAAAGGGCCCCTTATCTCCTCGGGTTTCCCCTTCTTTTCTCCTCTGTTTTCTCCTCCTCTCTCCTCTCCCTGTCTTTTCTCTCTCCTCAATCTCTACCATCTCCTTCTCTCTCTCTTTTCCCCCTTAGTCTTTTTTCCCGGGGCTTCTTCTCTCGCCCTTTTCCCCTCATTTTCTCTCTCTTTTGATAGAATTGGATTGCTAAATACTTTTTCCATTTTTTTATTTGGCCGGCCCGGGTTTGGGTCCCTTTGGGAAAGGGAAAGAGAACCCTACTGTTCTGTGGGCTACCTGGAGTGAACTGGGGGTCCCCTCAGTAATTAGCCGGGTAAAAACCCCATCATAAAACCCCTTAAAATTCAACCCCCCCACCCCCCGTCAATCACAAAAAAAAAGCCTAAACTAAAATATTTTCCCCCAAAAGGCCCGGTTGCCCCTGAGGGGAAATTCTACAATAAAAACCCTTTAAATGGCCCTATAAGTAAAAATACCCCTAGAAATATTTTTTTTCCTTAATTTTGGCCCCCTTTCTGGAAGGGAAAGGGGGGTCACCCCGAAAATGGGGGCCCCCGGGAAACCCTGCCGTTTCTCCCGGACCTCAAAAACCTGCCCAAAACCATGGGATTTGGCAGGGGGCCTACGGACCAGTTTTTTTGTGTGGTGTGTGTGGTTTTGTGTGTGGTGGGGAGTGTGTGGCCCCCCGTTTGTGGGCCCAAAACGCCCCCCCCCATGCCCTTTGGTGGGGAAAAGGTTTTAAGGCAGAGTGGGGGGAGGGGGGTGTGTGTGTGTGTGTTGGTTTATGTGTGTGTGTATGACTGGTGGGTGTGCGTGAGTGTACTTATTAGTACACTTATCAGTATGACCCCCATGAGTACTTGACCCCTTGAATCAGTGACCCCCCTTGAGTAGTGATACTCAAAGATTTACCAAGATTCACCAGTCTCACTGACAGGCTTCACCATGGTGATGCCCCACCACGCCGGGTCTCAGATTGGCTTCTCCCTTACTCTTCCTCTCAGTACTGAATGGGCACAGAAATCCTTAAAGGGCTTGTATCTCATCTCCTCAGACCACATAATCACATTAGCTGTCCTGAGGAGGTGAGCGGGCTGGGCGAGGCAGGGTCGGGCGGGGGTCATCCAGGGTGACTGGAGCCCATGGACAGGGCCGAGGGGCCATCCCTTGGGTCACGGTGACCCAGCAACCCCAGCCAGAGCTCTGATATTCGGGCAATTAGAGGGCCGGCGTGGGCCTTGAAGTGGTTAATGGTTTAATTAGTGTTATTAGAGCTAGAGAAAGAGGGAGAGAGGGATGCACAGCCTCCGCAAGGCTGGCTGGAGCTTGACCCGGGGCAGGGGGAGAGGAAGGACAGCCGCCACCGTCACCACACACACACACTTGCTGTAAACAGCCATAATTACCGCCACACAGAGATGGACAACATTTTCATCAATGTGGAAATGTATGGGCAAGTGGTACTACGCACCACTCATTATGAAATCCAACCATGCAACTGTTTGAATTGTCCTAAAGGGGATTCTCAGAGTAACTGTCTGGATAATGAGTGTGTTGGAGAGATACTGGGAAACTGGGTTAATGGGAGCACTGGGTCACTACCCATAGCACAGAACACAGCTGTGTGACTGACTGCACCCCTAGGACAGCTGCAGCTGGGCAGAGGGAGAGAGAGAGAGGGGTAGAGAGGGAGGTATGGAGAGAAGGAGGGAGGGAGGAAGGGGATAGAGGGAGCAGGAAAGAGAGAAGAGTGCAAGCGAAAGCAGAGAAAAGATGGTTGAGAGAGATATGAAAGGGGGGGGATCGAAGGAGACAAGAGAAAGAAACTGGGCATTGGGAAGAGAGAGAGAGAGAAAAGGCGAGAGAGCGATAAACGAGAGAGAAAGAGCGAAGGCAAGGGTCTGCACGTTGCCACCCAGGGAAGGGAGACAGTCATTTGGGCGAATTAACTATCAGGACACCCTTGACACATAGGAGCCAATCTGATTTTAATTAACTGGTGGATGGTGGTGGAGGGAGAGACGGGTGAGGCTGGCACAGGGCTAATTAACCCTCTGTATCTCTTGCCTGCCTGCCGCAAGCACCACAGGGACAGCCACAGAGCCGCGGAGCATCCCATTCCAGGGCCAGGGGAGGGGGGATAGAAGGGCAGGGCAGGGAGCCCCAAGGCTGGGTAGATGTGTGAGTGAGACGGGAGGTGGAGGGATGGAGGAAGAGGAATGGAGGAAGAGGGGTGGAGGAAGAGGGGTGGAGCAGAGAGGGTTGGCCAGAGTTGAGGCCTTGTGGCTGGGTAGATGTGTGAGAGAGTGAGGAAAGGCCTGGGGAGGTGGAAATGTGGCTGAGGAGGGTGGGAGGTTACTGTACTCAGCTGTGAGGGCCAACCTTCTGGCATGTGGTACATTATGAGTGTGTGGCTCACTATAGAAGTCTGCCCACTGAATTGCATCTGTCTGTCTATCAATCTGACAGTAAGTGTGTATGTGTCTGTCTATCTGTATGTGTGTGTGTGTGTGTGTCTCACCGTGGAGGGCTGT